CAACTGACACGCCCCAAGCTGCAGGGTTAATGAGAGTCATAAAATATCACATAAATTTAAGCAGTTTATGCTCCGAACAGAGGGTAGCATACAAAGTAAGCCTGATGTTTATGGCTTAAATAGTACTGTGTCTTTTCTGATGTCTCAGTCGCCGTCCTGGCCTTGTCAAAAAATTGACCTCAAATATGTCTTCTTCAGACGTCTGTCCAGCAATTCCAAATCGTTTTCCTAATTCCTGAGTTTCCATCGGTTCTTGACATCAGTATAAACTCATCTAGTAACCCACTTCCATTTTTCGTTCCCAATATCACCAGATGAAACGGTATTACTGTTGGTTCGTTAGATATATTTGGGTCTTCACTCAGCCATTCATTTGCGCCCAACCCTGATGATGCCACGATTTATCTAGCAAAACGCGTTGGCAATAAAGCTTTCATTATTAGTTGCGCTTGTTGCCTTCAACAATGAATCGGTCAATTATCTGTCAATAGCATTAAACCATTTACAATGGATCCTTAAGACTTACATGACATTTCTGAAAAATCAGCCAATTTTCAGTTTTCATCTCTTTACCTCAGTGTTGTCACCCATACGTGAATATTTAAGCCCACCTAACCAAACCTATTGATTCCTGCCCAGATGCTAGTAATAGTGACGACACTAAAAATTCCAAATTACACGACTACTAAGTTGGTTTTTTAACCTTTAAGACTCCAAGGAATTTCCAAGTTGGAAATATTCAATAATGAATGCGGCATAATAAATTAAACACATAACGGCGATACTGATATGAGACAGGTGTTCAGAGAATAAATAAAACTATGCCTACCACGAAAAGCCGACGATGTTCAAAGCTGCCCCTGATCATATGCGCCAGGATAATACAGCAAAGAAAGTTCTTACAGAAACCTGAACATAAATCAATGTCATGCAAACATCATTAAATACATTGCGGCAAAATAATCAAACACGCGGGCCAAATTAATGCACATGCCCCCCTAACAACGTTGATTCCAATTCGCCCCTCCAACGTCGATGTTTCAATAAAGCATTTACTTTTCGTCTTTCGTGCCACAAACGATGCGACCAGTTAACTTATCTGCCGCCGGTAATTCACGACATAGCACGAACTCGAAAAGTTATAAGCAAAATAAAACAAGGAAAAATATATAAGAAATAACATAAAAATGCAGCAAGACGACTGAATGGTAAGAGTACAAACAAATCTGCAATGTCATCGTCAAAATCAAAAAGCTGAAGTGGCAATAGGCACTATCCTTAGATCAGCCAGACTTTAGCCTGGATTCAAAGCAGGTAAGCGACGTCCAGAGAGATCTCCAAGTCGATGGAAGGATGAGTTAAAGAAGTGGCTATATCCAAGTGCATAAAAATGGTAGAAAACAGAAGGCTGTGACAAAAACCTGAAAAGATCTTCATCCAGCGGTGGATCGATAAATGCTGAGGAAAAACAAAGCTTGAAAAACAGATACCTCTTAAAAGATGTGGAACAACAGTCAGTACATCTTCTACAAAGTAAACTACGAAAAAACAGCTAGAGAATTCATTACTTGAAGCGTCGGATTGCTTCTTAACTCCAACAGAAAAAGTGCATTGTTTTTCTCTGTGTTTTGAGTTCAAAACCAACAGGTTTTGAGTTTGCAGCTGATCGCAGATATTAGCGTGGGAAAAAGAACTGCACTCGACAACCGTTTAAGATTTAAGAAACAACGGAAATTCTTGAGAAGCAAAAGAAAACAATGCAACTTCAAATGTGGAATGTGAATTCTGAATTAACATAGAACTACCGCTTTCATCATTACCTTTTAGAAAATGCACACTGATGTAGCCGTTATGCTTTCAGAGTTAGCAGCTTCAAGCACCAAAAAACGAATGTATTGTTTATTATTTTTCTACTTCTATTGCATCACCACAAAGTAGCTCGTTTGTTTTTCAGCGATACGCGGCAAAACACTACAACACCCGCCTATATAATGTATAAAGAGTATCCAAGAAAGGATACGGCAATTACTGTAGAGATTTCCAGGTACTGTCTCCCAGTTTAAATTTCGTCAGAAATCACATTTTAAGATTTCAAATTTCTGAATCGCCCTTTCGCAATTCTCATGAATGATTTCTACTATCGGATAATCTTAGATTTAGAATTTACTGAATTCGAAAATTTGCTGAGAAAATATTCTTTCTGATATGTACACAAGAAAATTTCCTAAGCTAAATAAAAATGAATTATCTGTGACAACAAAACAAAAAATTTCCAGTGTCATTTTTTAATGCATGACAAGATTAAAAATCTCTACTTTTTTTATCAATGCAAGTAACTTCAGTCGTAGCATAAGAAAATGAGTACTAAAAACTCCATAATGATTGAAGAAGCCTTGTGTGTTAACCTTGGCATTTATGCATGAGAAAAGTACCTAACAGGATGCACGTCTTGACTTTCTCCTAGTGGTATTCGTCAAGAAATTCTAATTTGTCAATTTCATCAAATTTTTTAAGTCTTGTGCTAGTTATTTTTGAGAATATTCCCGTTGTTTTAACATGTTATCTGAGATTAGCAGAGCTAATACGGCGGAGTAACTTTGATTTAAAATGTCTCATCGCTACAGCGTGTACTTCAGATTCTTGTTAAGCGGCGTTCACTGTTGCAACAAAGTTTACATTTCTTTAAGCAAGCA